TTTTTTTTTTTTTTTTTTTTTTTTTTTTTTTTTTTTTTTTTTAACTCAAAAGTTTTAAGGGGAAGTGGGCTTGACCTGAATATTTTCCCTATACGTCCCCGCCTCGGGACTCAAAGCCACCGTCTTGGTTTTCGATTCCAATTCTCTGGACACTCAATCAGGGCTTGTTCATGCATAGATTGTAGAGGCAATTCCGCATCGTCTCCTTCAGATCCATCGGTAAGCCCAACTTGAATTCTCCTCGTTTTTTTTGGCTTTTTTGGTTCAATTTGCATCGAAACAGTGTTTAATCTCTCATCGGCTTCTTCCATTTCTTAATCGCACTTTTCTATATTCGTTAAATCTAAGTGCGAAATTGAATTGGTCTGTGGCGGTGTTGTTAGTGTCAAGCTTATCAACTGCCTCCTTGTTTTTGCCCCAACTAAATCCCTATGTTGTTTTGGTAGAGGGTTTTTGCGGTAATTGGGATGGATGGGAATAAGGATGATGCTTTGAAATGCTTGAGAATTGGAAAGGAGGCGTTGGAAGCTGGGAATTTGGTCCGAGCCCTAAAATTTGTGAACAAAGCTCGTCGTCTTGATCCGACGCTTCCCGTTGACGACCTATTACCGGAACTTAAAAACGTTTCTGGTGATCAGTTGGGTGGTGATGCGTGTGATGCCGGCAATGGGCCATCTGGGTCCCCTTCGTCCAAGTCCCCTGAACAACAACCATCTGTTCGTCGTAGAGTTCCGGCATCTTCTGAATCTTCAACGTCTGCGACTTATACTGAGGAGAATGTAGAGATTGTAAGGCAGATCAAGAAGAAGAAGGATTACTACGAGATTTTGGGATTGGAGAAGAGTTGCTCTATTGAGGATGTTAGGAAGTCATATAGAAAGCTGTCTTTGAAGGTCCATCCAGATAAGAACAATGCTCCTGGTGCTGAAGAAGCGTTTAAGGCGGTATCCAAGGCCTTTCAGTGTCTAAGTAACGAGGAGAGTAGAAAAACGTATGATCTTGTTGGGTCCGAGGAAGAAATCTATGAGAGACGGACCGCAAGACATGGTGGTAATGGATTTAATGGGTTTTACGAAGGTGATGTTGATGCAGATGAGATATTTAGGAACTTCTTCTTTGGTGGAATGCCACCGACAACTACTCATTTCCGTAGTTTCAATTTTGGCCCTGGAATGGCTCCTAGAACAGGCGATCAGGGTTCAGGTGGTGGCCTTCGGACACTGATTCAATTGCTTCCTGTGCTGGTGATATTGCTTTTGAATTTCATGCCATCCTCAGAACCTATCTATGCCCTTTCCCGTTCATATCCTTATGAACACCGATTTACAACTCAGAAGGGTGTCAATTATTATGTGAAATCAAAAAACTTCGAACAGGAGTTTCCACCTAATAGTCGGGATCGTCTGGTTCTTGACCAAAGGGTAGATAGGGAGTATTTCAATATTCTTGCACAGAATTGTCGACTCGAGATGCAACGACGCCAGTGGGGATTCATTCGTGAAACTCCGCATTGTGATATGTTGAATAAGTTTCAATCAGCGGCTTAATGAAGGTCCATTTCAACTCTCTCTCTCTCTCTCTGTTATCATTTTGGCAGTTTTGAATTATGTGCATAGTTTAGCAGCATGATTGGGTGTATTAGTTCCTCCCAAACAATAAGAAGTATAGAGGAAAGTTGTTGGTCTCGAAAATGAGCTTATACATTTTCTTACATTTTAATGAATGAATGAAGGAAGAAGGAAAGTTATGTTTCTTATTTATTACCCACAATCTGTACCAATGCTGTAGATTGTCGTGCCTTCAGACTATGCCCCTTGATATTCTTTTATTTTGCCAATATTTGCTCTCTAACAGAATATGATCCTAAAAGATATTACAAAGAAGCATAATCTTTCTCCATGCATGGTGGCAGACTGGTGAATCAAATTGGTTTGACATTTCAAATCAATGGTATTTTGTGAGATCCTAAGGGGAACGAGTGTCGGCGAGGGCATTGGCCTCGAAGGGGTGGATTGTGAGATCCCACATTTGTTGGAGAGGGGAACAAAGTATTCTTTAGAAGGGTGTGAAAAAGTCTCTCCAGCAGACGTGTTCTGAAACCTTGAAGGGAAGCCTAGAAGTGAAAGCCCGAGGAGGACAATGTCTTTAACCGAGAATTATGCTCATGTTTTTTTCTCTCAATGAATCTTTCTACCTGTTTATGGTCAAGTTTCCCAGAGTCTAGCTCCGATTGCATTAAGCCAGTGAATTTGTCCTCCTTTTACTAAAACCACACAAATAGCGTTGAGCCTGGCTAGTAGACCTTTAAGGTTGCTAGCTTGGGCTTATCAGGGGTACTGATTTCCTCATGAAAAAAAAAGGGATGAACGGAATCCTTTGTTTGAAAGGTTCATCCCCTATTGAAGTTCTTCCTCATCCAAGCTTCTCCTGTAGAGAATTTTCACTTGCCTAGGTCATTATTCAATCATCTTATTCAACTCTAACCAAAAACGTTTGCTAACGACATCCGTGAGCCGAAACATAAAACCCATCACCTAATAGCACGAAGAGAGTGGCTATAGACGTCATCGAGGGTATACTATAATATTCTCTTATAGGCTTCTCCTCAAGGTTTTTAAAACGTGTCTGCTAAGGGAGAGGTTTCTAACACCTGATGTAGGATCTCACAATAACAATCCTATCGATATCATCCTTCATAGTTATCTGCTTTTGCTCACGCAATTAGATTACAACAATTCTTAGTTGGGTGTAAAGCCTCTATGTTAATCACACAGATTTGGAACTTGTTTCGCAGGTCCTGTTTTCTCGTGTGACGGACAAATTCCTAGGACGTTTGCACGAGCCTGAAACAAGTCAAATAGTTACCCCAGATCTGATGTCGCTCTTTATCATCTATTCTGAATGCTTCGCTTGTAAATCTCATATTCTCACCACCATCTTAGGTTCTAGCATATTTTCCCAGTATTACAATAGATTTACTTGAGTAGATGCTGAATAATTTTAGAGCTTGAGCTTGGATGTACTGATTATAATCCCTTTGCATTATCTGAACCAACGAACATTATTATGACTGCCTTTGTCACAGCTTGTATTTTGACATCATTTCATTTTGTTTAATTAAGAAAGAGTGGCCACATCTATTTGAGATATCATTGGATCCAAGATTTGGATTGCAATCTTTCTTCATTCTTTAAAATCAAATCAACCCAAGATGATTCCTAGAGTTCTTATAACATAGATACGATCGAACTCTCAATTTTTTTTTCTATTTTTTGTGTGTTTCGAGTCGTAGAACATATATTTGTTACAAAATTGATAAAACTTCAATAAAAAGCAACTCTAAAATTTGTTTTTCGATGAGAAATTTGTGAGTTTAGAAAGATGTAAGCCCTAAACTTAACTATGTCAATAGAATCCTCAAATATCGAACAAAGAACTGTGAGCCTCGAAGGTGTAGTCAAAAGTGACTAAAGTGTCGGACAAAGGGTGTACTTTGTTCGAGGGTTCCAGAGAAAGGAGTCGAGCCTCGATTAAGGGGAGGCTATTCGAGAGCTCCAAGAGGGAAGGCTTATAATGAACTAGAGGGAAGGCTTATAGTGAACTTTGTTCGAGGGGAAGATTGTTGAGGATTATTGGGAGTGAGTCCTACATTGGTTAATTTGAAGGGGAGGCTTATAGTGAACTTTGTTCGGGCACGATTGTTGAGGATTATTGGGAGTCCCACATTGGTTAATTTGAAGATTATGGGTTTATAAGTGAAGAATACTATCTCAAAGTTCAAAGTAAAGCCATGAGAGCTTAGGCTCAAAGTGGACAATATCACACGGACTATATAATGACCACTAGATTGTGTCTTTTTGTTTTTTTTGGGTAAAAGTTTTGACTTTCATTGAAACCGTTAAAATTAGGGGGTAAATTTAGATCGAACTTTAATGTCGATTTTGAAACTTTAGGAATCATGAATTTTTTGAAAATCTAAAGACGAAAAAAAAAAAGAAGTAATTTTTTCTTTTTAAAAAGTTTAAATAAAATTAGTTAATTAATTAACGTTAAGATTATTGAAAATGAGTAATAATTTTGTGAAATTTTGATTAAAAAGTTTTATAATGAAAAATATTATACGTAAAAATAAAAACTTTAATATTCCCGAAATTGAAAGAAAATAAAAAAATTGGCGATATGTGGTGATGCAGTTATTGTCGAGTGAGCTGAAATTGGCCTATAATGGGCATTGGCCACTTTACATTAGTTCTAAACGCGTCATTCCATTTAAATACCGGTCTCAATTTCCCAATATTTCTCCTTCCGTCAGGAATTGCAATCCCTAGATTTCTCTATCCGGACCCATCCATGCGTCTACGTTGAGGACACTTCTTGAATCGTCTTCTTCAGCACCATCTGTAAGTTCAAATCTTCAAACTAGATTCCTGTACTCAATTCAATTTTAATCTGTTGATCAAATGTGTAATTTAATTCACATGTTCTCCTCCTGCAATTTCTTTACGCCAATCGCAATCCGTATAAGGTTTTGGTAGCACCGACGCTTCCTATTAGTTCCCGATTAGGAATGTAATCGTTT